TCGAAGGAGGATCGCACGCCGAATTGTAATCCAGTCCCGACACCCAATAGACCTATGAAAGGTAATTATAGTTTGTTTTCTTGAAAATTACTCGTTGTGTATACATTTCAAATTAAATATTAATTCTCTGATGTTCACAGGATGTCCAGAGCCAAAAAAACAACAATTCCTTCGGGACCTAATGGATCTCATGCAAGAGAAAATGGAAGCCTCCAACAACGATTCTAACGAAACTACTGTTAAATGGCCGGTTCCTAAAGAGGAAAAAATAGCCACGTGGCACTTTGTGATGCTTGACACGAATAAAAATAAGGTATTTGACGAAAGACAATTCGTGATCGATCTTTCTCTCATTAAATTAATATATTGTAATAAGTATAAGATAATCATTATTATATATTCGATGTTCAACATAAATAGTGGCAGAGCAATTTTTCAGTCAACTAATACATTTATAATTCTTAAAGAAATGTTTATAGAAAAAAAGAGTACGATTTCGTTTCTTTTCTTAACTAGATTCTACTAATTGATTTTTTAATTAAAATCAATGTACTTGTTCTCAATTACTTTCTTTTTTCTATTGTAATTGTCTGATGGCTCGAAAATATCATCTTTGGTAGTTTTTATGCACGCGTATTATATACACATATATACATGTATATATACATATACAGGTTTTAGAAAAAAAAGAGTGGAAAAGTTTTCGCACAATGGTAGCGAATAATAGACAACTCCGGAGATGTGGCAAAAAATTACCGAGATATTGTGACATCAACAATGATAGAAGAATCAGTATGACAGAATGGCTCAGCTGTCTCAATGCTCAGCGTCCGACAGCAGGTGACACAATATTTACTTTTCTTTTATGCATACATGTACGTACATGTATGTGTGTATTTTCTAACACTTGTAAATTTTGAATAATTTGAATGCATTTCAGCTGACGATCGGGAGAAAACATTAACTACGCCGAAAAGAATAGGCCCAAACCCACTAGACCAGTTTCTCAACGATGATGACTAACACATTATGTGATACATTGTATTTGCGATCCCATAAAGAGGCACTCATTTTTTAAATTATTATTAAGCTCTAAAACAGCTGGAATTCTTGAAATCACTGTAAGCATTTTTCTCAATGTAATAATACTTCTCTGGCATTTTATTAGGTTTAAATTTTAACGATAAGCGTAAATTCTTATAGTTAAAATTCTCTGACTTTTTTTGCAATTTTTAAGCGTAATTTTTTATCTGATTGTTTATTCTCTCTTTGTCTATTTCTGAAAATTGGTAATTATCAACATCATTGTGCAATCGTCAGTATGTGTGTACTCTTGTGTATGACCTAGTCCATAAATAATCCTCTAAATAATTAAGCTACCTTATACTGGAAACAAATTCAATTTAGAAAAAAGATTTTCAATAAAGTAATTTTTATAGCATTTTGCTCAACATTCTGAACTTTTGTTACACATCTGTATCCATTTGCCTCTTCAGTCACAAAGAGTAGCATTTTACATATTTCTAGTTTGCGAAACAATTTGTAATTTAGAAACAATTTTCTAGCGTATTTTACTTACAGACACACATTTTTTTATGAACACAATATTCCACACAGTCTCCATTGACATGGAGTTTTTTTTTATATAAATATAGAATACTTGCTATATATTATACAGAGATAGCATGTAGGCATTTGGAACAAGCACTTGTAAGTCTATCGTTTTTAAAAAATATAAATCTAATTTCTGCATGTGCGTATTTCCATATATACATGTATAACGATAGTTTTTCATTTTATATACATCTCTCATGGTTTTTACAGATTTTAGATGTTTCTTTCTTGTACAACAATTGTATATCTTTCTCTTCTTATCGTAAATACACAATAAATATGGGTCAAAATTCAAATATTCCAAAATACACGTCCATAATTTATGTAAACATAATTTGTCGGTGATTACAGTTGCCTCTCGAGTTTAATCCATTCTTTTGGCGCCTCGCGTTCTCCATGCGACTAGTAGATTCCACGAAAAGTACAAGGAGAAACAATGAACCTGTGAGGCCAAAAGAATAAAAGCGTACCAAAGTACGCCATATGGGAGACCCTGAAAATTAAAACATGACACATATATGAACAAGTTTGTCTTGTGTTTTTTAAGAATAATAAAATATGAAATTGGGAATCCGTTTTTCCAAAAAGAAATCTTGCAAATATAATTAACGCTCGCATGTGTTTTTCTTTACTTTCAAAAGTTTAATTGATAAAGTTTAATGACTTTGAAAACGATCGTACCTGCCACAAATGAATGTTCTCAGATTTGCCTATGGTTAAATATGTCCAGACGTCCTTAAAGTAATACACAACGGCATAAATCAATGGGCCGTAGCCCAGCAAAATGATACCTATCATATATTTTTGCAGCGTTTTAATCCTATTCCTTTTAATCGCGGAGAGAGCGAGGAAAGATAATAATAAACTAGTGCACCATATGTATTCCCACCACAATGGCTGAAATAGAAAAGAAAATAAATCAAGTTAAGTCAACACTATAGGTTCTATCTTTGTTATTGATTAAATATTAAGAAAGATAGCACGAGATTTGTCAGACTTGTCTCGTTAAATAGTATCTTAATTACGCTAAACTATATATGTAATAAAGAAAGAGACAATGTACAGAAAGTATACTTCAGTTTTATCACGTTACGTTTACGACAAGATTAATCCACAACCAGAGATATTTGTTATCAAAGTTATTAATGTGTTATATAACCGTTTTAATAACTTTTAATAAATTTCCAGCCAGTCAAACGATTATATTGAATTTCACATCTGTATACAGTTAAGATATCTTTTTATTATACCTGTGGTATTTGTAATTCCTCGATTTCCAAGATAAATATATCCAGATGATCTAATATGTCTGCGGACAGTTTGGCGAGCATGACGAAGAATAACAGGTAGTGAAAAAATATACAATACTTCAGTCTTGATTTGTTTGTCGCACTGGAAACAAACGTATACTTGATATTTTATAAATTTCAACGAAAACGATAGAGATTTTATATATCTCATATATTTTACACAATTTACAAATTTAATTAATTATATCATATTACATCAATATTTTTACTTCCAAGCTTATCCATCCAATGTATACAATAACAAATTGTAATCCGAGTCTTTATTCCCAGTACCAGGTGTACTTTGACTCGATTGGTACACAATAACATATATGTGATATCTAGCTGGCGTAAACAGTAGAGCTATTCAAACAGATACGTCTGGCCAAATGCAAATTGATATTATCGTGCCATTGGATGAATGAGACTCGCCGGGTGATGACTATCAGATAACTTCTGCTCAGTTTTCCCACGAGTTCTCTCTCACCTGACTTGATAATGAGTCGCGATTTTCTGTCGGTGACCATAGTCGCTTCCGTCCGTTCCCAGGGCCTGGGAGAGCGTAACTTTCGAAGCCATAATCGGCAAGGTAATCGGCGTTGTCAATTGATCTCTTCTTCAAGCGGACGGCCGAGAGGACACGGGATTCATTCGAATGACTCGAAGGAGCACAGATCAAGGCAATTTATTGGTTTATCGGCGAATGTTTAACTATTTTTAAACTCTGTGCAGCCAGATGGGAAACGGAGAGTGAGCTCGGTGGCCTCGTCAGGCCTCGTCGGGCCTCGTGGCTCCGGAGTACCTGGGAGTACCCAGGCCAGGGCGCGCGTAATATCCTAGGGGCGAAACCGTGGCAAACACGTCGACCTCGTGCGCCTTCAAGTGGAGTTTCGAGAGTGCGCTGAGTGCCTCTGTCGTGTACAATCCGGAGCGTTAACACCTGACACCTGTCCCAGGCGTCCGTATCTGCGGGGAGACCTCGACGACGCGCAATTTACAATTTTGTTTTTTTCGCAGAGCTAAAAACCAGTCGAGAGGTAGCGTGCAAGTGCGACAGGATACGTTTCGCGTGTACAGCGGAGGTGTTTGATCGATCGGGTCGCGCGCGTTAACGCTCCCGAGTATACACCTTGGATAAGAGACGAGTGGAGAGAGCGTAACGCGAGGATGTGAGTTCTGTCTACGTCATATCGCGAGACGGCTGTCGACACGTGGAGCGTTTGTTCCTTTTCTCTCCGACGTGAAGAGAAAAAGAAGAAAGATGAACGGTGCAAGAAGTTCAGCTGATGGCACCTCCCAGCCTTGGCATAAAAAATGACGGCAAAAGCAGTCTAGTTAGATAGTACATAGAAATCCGTGGGATGTATACGCTCCTGGTGAAAAAATTCCTCAGATTTTCTTAGAAATTTCCTAAGAATTTCTAATTTCTCATATTTTACATTGATGAAAAATTCTGGAAAAAAAATAAAATATGTCAAATTTCTCAGATACTTTCAGAAATAATTGGATGAGAATTTGCAGTATCTGTACGTATGAAAATATTTATTCAGATTCCTACAAAGATGTGTTGACAGAAAAAATCTGAATTTCATTATTTTGTTTGAATTTTTCTGGAAAATATTCCAATTCGTGTAAAAATTCTGAGAAAATCTTCATAGAAATTCTGGTACATTTTTACAAGGGGCGTATGCGTTAAAATCTCTTCAAGGGTTAGATTACATTAATTTGGAAAAAATATATATATTACGTTCGATACATCGAATATTCGCTTATGAGATATCCGCCGAAAAACTTTTCGTTCAATTATAAACTTTATTTATCGATTTGTAACAGTAAGGGTGTCGCCGAAGAGTGAAAGACACCCACCTCCTCGTTTTCGCTCGCACTGAGATTTATGTACATGTCTTCTTTAACCCTATCTTAAAATTACTCCGTCCTCGCTGCGCGGTTCGCTATTACGAGCGTTTATAAAACTCGTTGTCAAGATATATAAATATTTCTATCGTTCTACACGGAATAGAACTCGAGCTGCTCTCAATAACGCGATGAATTTCTCGCGCGGGCACGTATTTTAAAGCTATTCCCTGATATAAATTTATATCAGTTTACATCGAGCGCTAGAAAATGCCACTGATGAGTCGGATACTATGGGCCGATTTCACCGTCTCCGATTAACTTGATCCTCCGATTAAACTCACTCTTCGTTTCTTTCTAAGAGGGAAGTTAGAAAAAGATGAAGAGTGAGTTTGATCGGAGGATCAAGTTAATCGGAGACGGCGAGATTGGCCCATATGTGTATACCTGTCCCTGGAAATTGCCCTTTCCTTTACAAAAGTTTCGACAACTCTTTTAGAAAGAGTTTTACACGTTGCTTCACGCTAGAAGGAAAGGGCTGTGTAATCAGGTACGCGTTTTGAATGCCGTAAAAGTAACATCCTGTCAATCGTTCGCGGTTATCAATGATTGCGCGTCTAACAAGCTCTCGCTATAGAGGATCGAGCTGTTCATAATCGGCGCGCTGACGGTGTTCCCCGATCTGTTGTTACTGAAGGGATAAAAGCTGTCGATATTTGTGTGAAGAGAGCAGGTACCGACCTTGTCCACCGGCGAGACGCGATTCTCGTTTATTCCAAGCTGATTTACGTCGTTTTGTAGTAACCTAATGTAAAGCTCGACGTGCCTCTGGCCGCCGTTACGAATCTCGAGTGTCGGTATCCAACGGAAGTAGCACTGCGTCCAAAGCTCGAGACTAGAAACCGCGTACAAAGGTCTTACAATTGTCGTCCCGTTCTCCGTCTTGTCGGCGCTACGGGGAACGAATAAAGGGTTGTAAAACAGCAGGATATCCTGATCGTTGAACTGCTCCCGCCAGTCCCATACGCTACGAAGCACGAGAGGCGTGTTGGGATCCTGAAAAATCCAAGATTTGTAACGTTTCGGATCATGGGCTACTCGACTCGACGCATTCGAGATGATAGTGAGAAAGACTTCCAAGTAAGATCCATTACCATAGCTGCCACCGCCCGATCTCTCTCGCAGTTGAAAATGAAGGTGTCGAAAATGGAAACGTGTGCAGCGTCCCACAGCGTGGTCAGATACGTTTCCGTGAATTCAAATTCCGTTGGATATTGGTGACACAATTGCCAAACGCAGTCGAGGTACAAGAGAAACAATGGAGACTGTGAATCAAATAAAAAAAATTGATTTTTTAATTAAACGTTTTAATCGCCAGTGTTCGTTCGAAGCTGGAAGTCAGGTCAGATGCTATGCGTACCTTTTCCGAATTGGTTTTCACGATGTGGCCTAATCTATCGCAAAACGGATGGCCACCAGCGACCCATTCTTTTTGCAACAACGATTGAAAACCTGCTATAGTACGAAAGTGATGATCCAGCGACAATTGCGCTAAACTCGATATAACGCAGCACAAGTCTCTGGCGGCACCTTCTAAAAACGATTCTCGTTTATAACAGAAGTCTCGACTTGGTCGTTTTGGCGAACTATCGACTTTTCCGTTCCATATATGGTTAACGTCAATCGTAAAGTCGATTGCCTCTGTCTAAAAGATTCCTCTACGTCCGCCGCGCTTGCGAAACAGATTATCTGAACAACTACCTTGTAAGATGACGGAAATTCCTAAATTAAGACGGTCGCAGACTTCAACTGTCTTTTGTAGGCAATACGATATGTATTTAAGCCATTTCGTATTTTCTAACAGCGAATAAAAATTATTATCTTGAATCCAGAATTGTCTGATGTTTTCTGAAATAAAAAAATATAATTATATCTTTATTCTCCCCTTTCTCGCAATTCGGACACTTGGAAATATCGGTCGATTTAAAAGATTTACCTGGTGTGCATAAGCTAATGAATTTAGTAAAACTTGCCGCTATTAACTTTACATTAATTTCTTTATTCAATTCGATAACAACCGGAGGTATCTTTTGAGGATGACTTTTACGAACATTTTCAAACATAATATTCTCCTGCATCCTCTCTGTAATCGTTGGTAATAATTCAGACATTTTTACTAAGGCCGCACCGTGCGCATTTGTCCAGGACCATACCGGTGGTCTATTACCTTGAAAATGTCTGGCTGCATCTGTCAACTGATTGTCGGTCACAGACGCAGGTACCACTACGTATTGCGATAAGCTGCAAACAAACGGCGACTGATGAAAATTCGTCGACGCGTTTGTATTTACGCAAATCACGTTCAACGAGCGAGTTACCTGGGACAAAGCTGAAATTTGGCGTTAACCATGGACAACCTCCAACCTTTTCTTATCTCGTCGCTACACAAAGTTCTTTTCAACTCGTTTTGCCAGTCTGAAATTTCTCGGAATAGTTGCACATTCTTGTCGAGACTACTGTAATAAGCCTCTCTGTAATCAGACACGCAAAAATTAGTATTGAGTTTTTACGATTCAACGTTGCGACTTTAACGCAACGTTTCACTTAGACTCAAGGTACGATACTAACTTGTAATCGTAGGCAAATAACAGTTGGTGTCTGCTGGGAAAAGCGTGATGTAGCAGCGCGGTCAGAAGATTCTTACCGTGGCCGAGGGGTGAGAATTTGAAAGAAAACGACCACGTCCTTAGATTCTGTAATTCATAAATGTAATATGTAATTCTTATCACTATCATCTTGTAGCTCATATACAACAAAATTGCTTATCAATTTCGAACAAACATTAGCCAACTCTCTCTTACGCCTTATCTATTTACATTCAACATTCTTCTATCATAAGGGCTGCGGTCCACTTGACGCTACAAATGCTTTGAAGCATTTCTTTTCTCCTTTTTTTCAATGAAGAAAGAAGGAGAAGAAGAACACTTCGAAGCATTTGTAGTGTCAAATGGACTGCAGCCAAGAACGTATCTTAATGTAGACTTAGGCTGCGGTCCACTCGACGCTGCTACAAATGCTTCGAAGCATTCCTCTTCTCCTTTCTTTCAGTGAAGAAAGAAAGAAAAGAAGAATGCTTCAAAGCATGTGTAGCGTCAAGTGGACCGCAGCCTTAGACTGGTTACTCATACATTGTGAGACAAAAACTTACCTTGCAAATAATAAATATCCCTTTCACTTTCGACGGTACCGTACTGCCGGGAAGTAGCTTTCTCTTCTTGTCGCCCACCGTAACACAAATCTCATCGATATTGGTCAAACACGTATCCGTATATCCATACAAGTGATTTTGTTGGCGAGTAACGTTCTGCAAACGTCATCGACACGTTATAGATCAGTTTAAATGTTTACGCTTTAACAATCAAGTGGACAAACTATAAAGTTACGCCGACGTATCCGTTTATACCTCTCCATTTGAGTCACCGCTGGTGACGAAGGTAAGCTTGAAATTGGTCACCGACAGCACGCCAGATATGCCTTGTTTCAGGTCGCTGACGGGCGAGAACATAAGGACACTTTGCGCCTCGGCGATAAGAACCTCTCCCGGCAATAATTTGATGCTATTTTCAATCAGTGAATTACGTCGACTGGAGCTGAAGGTCTGCGAAAGAGGTTATAATTAGAGAGGTCGATTAGCGATTCTCGGATACCTCCGGTCTCGTCATTTGTGGGGGATTCAAGTGGGAGAGCTGACAACGTCGAGAGGTTAATTTACAAGCGACGGGAGAACGTTTACACACAGAGCTGAATGCGGTTACCTGCAGCTCGTGCTCCTCCAGTCCCACGTAACTAATGAAATTGTTGCTACTCTTGTTTTCCATGACAGGTGAGTTAGACGGGTGAAGAGGTGAAGCCGCTTGTTGTCGCTGGATGGCCCGCTGACAGCGGGCGACAGGCGCGCGAGTGATGTAACGCTTAATTCTCCTCTCGCATAGCTGAATCCAGTGGAATTCCTTCGTGCGGCTTTTGCCCAGCAGCACCCACGCCGACGCAGCCGTTCGTGGAAGCGCTGGAAATTCAAACCCCACTTGGTAGGGCCGGCACATACAGGCTGGAAGCCTATCTCACGAGCGGAGGCCTTTTCCAGCGGAGACTCCGAACTCCATTCCAACTCTACTTTTGTCGACGATGAGTGCTACACTGTCTGCTTTAAAAAGAGGAGGAGAGTTTTGACAGATGTGTCTCTCCTCTCCTTGACGGGGTTAGACAAGGAGGGAGGGAGAGAGAAAGAGAGATGGAGAAAGTAGATCCAGGGAGTATATGGAAATAGAGTTCTTCAAGTATGTAAGCCGCCATGTTCCGATTAATTATGACACACTTTTGAAAAAAATTAGTTTATGGGAGTTTATTTAAAAAAAATTTAAATAGTTGATATATACAAGTAAATCTATAAAAATAAAGAAATAATGAAAATAATTTAACTGTTTGTAAAACAGTATTAAAATTGTATCGTTAGAAGAATATAAATGTATTACTATAATTTCGCAATCCACGGAGTTAATTTAAAAAAACAATAAATTTAATTTAATAATATTATATTATAAAAATAAATAATAAAATAACAATTTTATTGTTTGTAAAACAGTATTAAAATTGCATATGTAAAATTACATCTTTGTTAAAAGAATATTATAATTTTTATCAAAAATATATAAACAAGCGCGTGAAACTGAATTCGCGATAAGTTATCGACCCGCGCGACCTGAAATCTCGATTCGCCCGGCGTCGATATATCTAACAGCGTCACCGCTCTACCGCGTCTCGATTATCCTCGTTCCGTTCAATGACGTAGTGCTGCCATATTTTTTCCGTGGGGGCCTGCTAGGGGGTCAATCGAATTGTTGGTGTTCGGACACTCGGAGATGGCCGTGCAAGATGGTTTGTGATAACCAAATGGTGCGCGTGATAAACGATTGAGGAAAGAGATCGGAAACGGGGCGCGTCGTTTCGGCCCAGGTACCACCCTGCCCGACCATCGCCGACGGCCGCGCGGAATCGGCGTGGCGGGTGATCGCGCCTCTCTCGCATCTACGGGACCGCCTCGCCGCGCCGCGAGGACGGGGCGGACTTTACGTCACGCGAGTTTCGTTCGCGACGATGGCAGTAGTGCGGTGTGTCGCGACGAGGTTATAAAACCCCGGAGATCTGGGACGAGAGATCGTCGCGGATCGAGCCCACGCTCGATCCTCCACGGAGACGACGCACGACGTTCGGCGCGCGCGGTCCGCGTCGTCGTCTCGTACTCCGCAGATTCCGTTCTGCGAACCGCCTACCGCCTCTACCTCTCTCTCTCTCTCTGCGGCGCACTATTTTTACCCCCCGCGCGCTTTTTTATTTAGACGCGTTTCTCCTGTTGCACGCTTTCGCCGAATATTTTGGCTATCTTTATAGCGGTTACGTAATTTCTCGACGTGAATGATCCCCGGCGCGAGAGGCGATCCCCGAGAGTGCGAGAGGAGCGAAACTGCAGTGTTC